CATGTGCACATACGAAAACATTTAGAGAGAACCAAACCTTAAATTGAGAAGAGAACTGAGTACACTCAAGTCCTGGGGAATATGGAAGCGTCCACTGAAGGAGGAAGAGGTAGTAAGATAATGAGAAATTGGCAGAATGACAAGTGGATAACAGGAAAATGTGAAGTTATGAGAGCCAAAGGAAGACAGAATAAGGGATGAAAGAGAGTGGTCCAGAGTGTTGAATATGCCTGAGAGTCAACTGAGAAGAGGACCAGAGAATGTCCATTTGATGTAGCAATATGGATGTCACTGCTGACTTTAGAACAAGAGTATTTTGGAGGAGTTGAGGGCAGGGCAAAGTTGGTTTAAAGAGCACATGGGAGGTGGGGAAACAGACAATATACTTAGGTAATACTTTCTAGAAGTCCACTCGGGAAGAGATGAGGAAGTAATCATTTGATTGAAAATAAGGTCCAGTGGTTTATTTTCAGGTTGTGAAAGATTTGAGTATTTGTCAATGTTAATGGCTACGGGAATTGATGGGATACAAATTGAAATGTTTCAACACACTGATGGAGACTGGAGACACTCACTCACCTATGCCAAAAAAATTTGGAAGACAGCTACCAGGCCAACTAATGGAAGAGATCCATATTTGTGTCCATTCCAAAAAAGGTCACTTAGCAGAATGTGGAAATCATCAAATAATATCACATGCAAGTAAAATTTGCCAAAGATAATTTAAAAATGATTGCAGCAATATATTGACAAGTAGCTGTCAGAAATTCAAGTTGGATTTTGAAGATAACACTGAACTAGGAATATCATTGCTGATGTCAGATGTTTCTTCATTGAAAGCAGAGACTACCAGAGAATATGTTGTTGTTGTTGTTTTTAAGTGCCACCGAGTTGATTCTGACTCATAGCGACCTGTATAGGGTTTTTGAGAAGCAGCTGGTGGGTTTGAACCCCAATGCCCAAGTTGCCCATCCCTGTCCTCTCTGTGGACAGAGGAGGTGGGAATGATCCTCGCTGTGAAGATTTGTTCACTCTTAGGAGCTATTGCTTCCATCGGTGTGTGTCAAGTTCATCAAATTGTATCCGATTATTCTTTTTTCCCTCTTCGTTCTTCTTCTGTTTGAGCTCTGATCATCCAGCCATTGAAGCCAGGTCAAGTGGGTATTATCTGCAAGTATGGGTGTTCTTGTGCATGTGCCCTCCCTTCTTATCAGCTGGACGCTTCATTCTCCACTCTAGTCCTCTGTGGCTATGTCACTGACTCTGGGTCCAAGAGTCCCCTGGATTTGGCACACTGCTGGCCAACCAGGTCTCCATCAGGGTTCACAGGAATCTATTGAGCATTACAGGGCTTAGCTCACAGCTTCATTGCTGATTTTCCCTCACTTCCCCTTATCAGTATGAGCGTGGTCACCAATCAGAGCATGCATTCCCATTGAGCCTTAGTCTTAGAAGGGGGTTTGCCTTGAGGGGGACCTGGCCACTTGCCTTGATGTCTCCTGGACAAGCCACTTATTCTTGTAGTAATCAGTCGGCCTGCCTACATTGTGTTGTATTTTTCCTGTCAGTCTTTTAGGAAGTTTCTTTATCTTCTGTCCACTCCAGGCTGGTCTGCTTGTCCTTTCAAATGGACATTTCCTCTCAGAAGATTCTGGATGCTATTCAGGATTCCATCTATGGTCTTGTGTAATGCAGAGGCTCCACAGGAAGCCTCCTTCACTGGGCACGTTGTATCCTCATTTTAGGTATTCCAATCAGTTATAGACATATGACGGATTTACAAGCTTTCTATGGTGATATTTCTGACTATTCCTTTCTCTCCCCCTCCAGTGTCTATTTTATAGCAGTATGACAGGGAAACCAAGATTTAATGGTCAGCCAAGCATCTCAACATTATTTCTCCCCTTTTACCCCATTCAAACCATGTCCCCATCTCTGTATCCCAGAGCCCTGTTGTTCCAAGGTTTTGCATACATTATTTGCCTCTGTCCCACTTCAGCTTCACATTCATTCTATCGTATTTCATTTCACTGCAATGATTAAAATCCCCTCCATATATCATCAAATAACCAAAGGATACACCCCACAGGCCCGCCCTCACGCCCAGCTGTCAGCAAACAGCTCCTCGCCCTCCCTGAGTCCCATGTCCCCAGCCACTCCATCCGTCCATGCCATCATAGTCACCCCACCATTTTGGGTCTAGGCAGTTTCCAGCACCCCCCCAAGGTATTCCAGTGAACCCCCAGTCTTGTGGTTGGCAGTGAAATGCTTATTCTACAGCACTATACCAGGACTCCATGAAAGATGTTTGCTTGTGAACTTTATTGACTATGCAAAGGCATTTGACTGTGTGCATCATAACTATTGTATCATATTGTTATCAATAAATGAGTATTTCAGAACTTTTAATTGTGCTCATGAGAAAGCCACACATAGATCAACAAGCAGTCATTTAAACAGAACCAGGGAAAACTAAGTGATTTAGTGATTTCAAATCAGGAAACGCGCATGTCAGGGTTGTATCTTTTTACCATACTTAACTCAATCTGTGTACTAAGAAGCTAGATTATATGAAGAAGAATGTGGCATCAGGATTGGAGGAAGACTCATTAACAACCTGCAATATGCACATGATACAACCTTGCTTGCTGGAAACTAAGAGGATGTGAAATACTTACTGATGAATATCAAAGACAGTCTTCGGTATAGATTGCGCCTGTAAAGAAAACAAAAATCCTCACAACTGGACCAATAAATAACATCATGATAAATGGCAAAAAGATTAAAGCTGTCAGACTTTAGATTATTTGGATTCACACTCAGTGCTCACAAAGCAGCTGTCAAGAAATCAAACCACATATTGCATTAGGCAAATCTGCTGCAAATATCTCTTTAGAACAAAAATGTTACTTCTAGGATTAACGTGTGCCTGACACAAACCATGATATTTTCAATAGCCTCATATGCATGTGCAAACAGGGCAATGAATAAGGAAGACTGGAGTAGAATTGATGGATTTTAATTATGATGTTACTGAAGAATATCAAAAATACCATAGTAAAACGATCGGTTTTTGGAAGAAGTACGGTTGGATTGATCCTTAGACGCAAAGATGGAGAGACTTTGTCTCTCATACTTTGGATGTATGAGAAAGGACAAGTCCTTGGAAAAGGATGGACATAGGTACAGATAATGTTGTGTTTCATGGCTGAAGTGTTGAGAATTTCAGCCTGAACTATTTTCTCAGATAAATGGAAAGAGGTCAAATTCTGAGCATAAAAGGGAAGTTTTAAGGGAAGATTGCAGAGTTGAACTTTGAGTAGAATAAAAAAGGCTTTAAAAGGCAATTGGAGAGAATAAGTTGACTAGCGTGAAATGGGTGAACTTGGGGACAATGTTGAGGACCTAATTGATGTTGATAATCATACATTTAAAATGGTACAAAATTACCCTACCGGGATAAAAATGAATAATTACAGCTGTTTTTGTTGTTAAGTGCCTGTTGAGTCAGTTCTGATTCACAGTAACCCTGATGAGAGTTTTCAAGGAATGGCTGATAAGTTTGAACCACAGACCTTGTGGTTAGCAGTCCAATGCTTATCCTATGGATACAGATGAGTTCACCTAAAGGCACCTGAGACGAAAGACCAGGTGCTTTATTTCCAAAAAATCAGCCACTGAAAATCCCTATGGAGTGCAAATCTACTCTGACACAAATGGCGTCGCTATGAGTTGGGTAACGGTTGGGCAATTCAAGGGTAACGGTTCCAAATAATACATTTCTTAGTTATACAATGTAGTAACAAACCGCTAGTAAAGGGCAAGAAGAAAGAAGGGACGGTTTATAAATTTGGAATGATATTTTCAGAGGAAGAGAGGCATATGGAATGGAAAGGGCTTCATGAGAGAGAGGGCTTCGTGAGGAGATTCAACGGGGGCGGTGAAGTTCCCCTTACAAATGATGGGATGAGTTTGTTATGTGTTTCATAACTTAAATATTCTTTTTTAACTTTCAAGCAAGATAAAAGAAAACAAAAGCTGAAAAACAACAGTTCCCCCTCTATCCCTTCCGCCCACCCCCAAACCCCTCAGAGACAAATCAACGATCAGGTGGCGCAGGGCACGCTGGGTAAGTGGCTTGAGGCCTCTCGCGGGAGGGCTCAGCCATCCAAGCGCACGCACGCGCGACCACACCAACCAATCAAGGCGCTCGCACCAGCTTTTTTTTTTAATCAGGTACGCATGCGCAGCTACACTCCGACCAATCAGCGACGCCCGTGCTTGAAATTTTAATCAAGCGTGCAGGCTTAGTGCTTCAGACGAGCTTGCAGAGACGAAGTACTCGAAGCCGGTGAGGTGTTTGGGTTGGGAAACTGGGGTGGCGCGTCCCGGGAGGTTAGGAGCCTGGCTGCTGTGGTTTGTGGCCGTTGGGGCTACTTTTAGGCGCGAGGAAGGGAGAGGTTCGTAGAATCCGGGAGTTTGGCCTAGAGTTTGTTCTTGACGGGTGAGGTAAATCTTGTCCACGGAGTTAGTTGGGGCCTCTGACAGGCAAGGCGGGCAGCGGAGCCGGGCCTGGACTCTGTTAGGAAGCCGGCGAGGGTGGTCATTGCCGGGTGGAACGCGAAGCCTGAAGTCTCGCGGGGTAGGGGGGCGCTCCTGCACTCCTCTTCCTCCTGCCAGGCCGCAAACCCCTTAGAAACTGGGGTGAAGCCGCGGGTGCGCCTCGGGGTCCTGCCTGGGGCCTAGTGTACGCGCGTTTTGTGGAACTGGTCCTGGGAGGTGGCTTTCTGAGGCGCAGCTGCCTGAAATGCTGGCGTTCCTGTGAGGGCACCCTGTCGCCTCTCCGCCGTCCCGCCTTCCTCCACGGGCCTTTTGACGCAGTTGTTGTTTATGTAATTGTTTGCCACGAACCGAGCGCCTCCGAATTCAGTATAAACAGGCCGTTTGAGACAAGGAGGCTTTGAGCGCGCCATGTTATTTACCGACAGAAAACATCCGTGATGGCACCTACTGGAAGAAAGCACGCGGGGAAATCTGTGAAGCAAACCATGGAGGAGCAGATCATCCGTGCCTATGAGTTTGAGAACGTCGAGAGGAATCTGAGTGGTGCCGAACAGGATTTTCTAGAAGGTTCCGTATAGCTCATATCGTAGGGCAACGGCGATGCCCTGCAAGTCACTGTTTTTGAACCCTCTGTGATGTTTTTTGTTTAAATTGTTGTTAGCAAAAAGTCAAATACTATATCCATTAGAAATGATTCAAGTTGCATAAACTTAACGTTCCAAAAATGTTCTTTTTTATTGTCACTGCAGGAAAGATGACAGCAGTTGATAAGCATGGGAAGAAAAGGTCTTCCACAGGAATGATGGAGCGAGATCTCGGGTAGTGTATTCAAAATGTTTGCTTTTTGAAAGCATTAAGAAAATTTGACTTTGGTTACAGACAGTTACAGTATGTGAAACAGTTGACATCTGGGCCCCCTCCCCCATACCCCCAAGCTTGCGTGGTATTTTATCATTGTTTTAAATGATCATTTCTTCTTAGGGGTGAAGTACAGAATATGCTGGAAAGATTTGGAGGTATGTTTTAGAAGGTATCTGTATATAAAGAAATTTGTTTTAAACCATGTGATTTGTATAAAATTGTGTGTGCCCTTGAGTCCTTCTCAAGTCATAGTGACTCTGTATAACAGTAAACTGCCCCACAGGTTTTCCTAGGTTGTAAATCTCTATGGTACAGATCACCAGGTCTATTCTCCCTTGGAGTTTGCTGGTGGGTAAGAACTGTCAACCTTTCAGTTAGCACTTGAGTGCTTAATCACTTTGATACAGGGCTGTATGAGGGACTTCAGATTGTTCATAAAGAATTTGCATTCTGGTTCTTCCCCCTCGATGTTTTAATTCAATTTTTCCACAAACTTTTCAAGCCCTATGTATAGGATTTTGCATAAATATTTACTGTGAATCAGCTTCATAGATTTCCTTACTTAACCTTTTCCAGTTGTTGTGAGAATAGTATTTTTATACATGTGTAAATTTAATGGGTGGTGAAATATTAAAAGAAAAATGAATGGACCCAGGATCTACCTTTGTTCATAGAGTAAGTGACTACACACACACACACACACACACACACACACACACACACACTTCAGTTTTTTCAATTAGTTAATTCCTGTGTTCATTCTTTGAGGGGGGCAGTAGCAATGGAACCCTCTAAAATAAACTTCATTGTTATTTTTATATCAATAAAGAACATCTTTATGAACTAAAGACAACTTTGTTGTCTATTAGATAATCAAATCCAAAATTTCTTAAGTGTTAAATGGTATGTCAAATGTTTACTGTTTGAAGGCAATACACTTTAAAGAGTCAATACTTAGTTCTTATGGGGAGCATTCCTACAAGCAAGCCTTTTTTGGAAGCTTTACTCCAACTTATGGTGACAAAGTGCTCTTTTTGTGAGCTGTCTTATAAAGTCATTATTAGAGACTGATACCAAAGTGTAAAATATTTATGTAATAGTTTGGCTTCACCATGATTACTAAAAGCTTTTGAAAGTAGGTCCGTAACACAAAAGCATGTTTTAACAATGTATTATTTGAAGTATTTTCTGAAATACAATACTTAATGGGTCAGATATCCTATAGAAAGCCATGAAAGTATTTTAAAATGGATTTAATTTTATTTATTAACAGAATTTTATTTATCCTTGGTTTGTGTCTTCTAATAGTTTTAAAGTATTTTAAAAAATAATTTTCTTGTGTAACTTTCAGTTTTCTTGGATTTTAAGTTTATAGAACATTTTTGTGTTTTATAGAATGAGTTCTAGGAGTAACTCCTCTAAAGTGTCCATTCAGTTGGAGAGAATTGTATAAACTTAGAAAAATGTAGCCTTTTAAAGTATTTTTGCATGAGGAAATTAAAGTCTGTCCTTGAGAACCCTTATATACATTCCAGAAAATTGAAACTCTTTATTAGTTTTTTTAAAACAATTAGCTAAATATTTAAAAAATGTGCAGTTGAAAAAATGAGAACTGGTATGCTTGGAGTAGCTAAAAATTTTCTCAGTAGAAAAATGTTTTTTAAAGTATGTCTAATTTAAAATCTCATTTTAAGTGGCATTCCACTATTACTGGAATCAATTTAAATACATGGAAACAACAGAATTTTCTTCGTTATTAAATGTCAATGAATATTTTCAATATAGCTGACATTAACAAGGCTCTTCTTGCAAAGAAAAAGAAATTAGAACTTTATACCCAGGCTTCTTTCAAAAACAGTAACCAGAAAATTGAAAGTGTTTGGAAAGCACAACAAGAACAAAGGTAAAATTATTACCATTTTAGAGCCACATTTGTATCATTAGTATTTATGGATACAGATTACTAACGAATAGCATAGTCTTCTACAAAGAAGCAAAAAGTTTGTGGAAAATTCCATTTTAATTATATTTTCCTTGAACTTTTTGGAAGTCATCTTGTATTTAGTATAATAAAAGTGAAAAATATATTTGGCTTGATTTTTCTTTAAGCAGTTAAATCCCTTAGTCTACCTTTACTCCTTTATACAATTTATTTATCTATAGAGATTAAATATGAAGTTTGCTTTATTCCTTCCCTTTCAAATAAAAATTGTATTTACTTAAAGCAATTTATAGATGGTTACATATTCTTGAGCGCTTCTGTGTACAATCCAAAAAAAAACCAGAGGGAATGGAAGCAAATGCTGTTGAATGATGATGCATGGAGGGGATTGTAATGATTGCAGTGAAATGAAATACGATAGGATAAATGTTAAGCTGCTGTTTTCTACGTAAACTACCACTCAATTTACAATAAAAACTTAAAAACAAAAGCAACTTATATTCATTTTAGAAATAAGGTAGCTGAATAATGTAAATATATAAACCATTAGTATAGTTCAACAATGTAGAAAAAGGTCAATCTCATATTGTAAATTGAGTATTTTGGATGAACTCTTTTTGTACAAAATTTTGGTTTTGTCGAAGTAGGAAATAAAGTGTACCTATTTGTAATTCTTATATGATAAATAGTCTCACTGAATCTATTAGTTTCCACAGCTAAAGAGTGTATCGATTAGTAGCTTGTTAGGAGAATCGTAATATTATGTCTTAAGTTTCCCATCAGAATATCTAAACTGCTATTACTTTTTAATAATATAAATTATGTCAAATTTTGTTTTGAATGTTAATCTTTTTTTTTTGTATTATGCTTTATAGACACAAACTTAGCCAGGAATATTCTCAGCAGTTTCAGAGTTTGTTTCAGCAGTGGGATATGGATATGCAGAAAACTGAGGAACAAGAAGAAAAACTGACTGTTGGTATCATGCTTAGATTTATAGTTTATCTATTGTAACTAAGTCTTAAGTCGGAATAGAGACTAAGCTCTTAGGGTAGACCCATAGAACTTAACCAGGTTCCATTGCCGGCTGTATGTTTTGGCCCTGCTGAATTTTGTAAGCCAGAGAAGTATAGGCATATACCAAACTCATGCCTTTGCTTTCTATATTGGTTGAGATTCTTGCAGATCCAAGTGACAGAAATTTTCCAGAGTACAAAATAAAAATTTTATTGGGTAGTTTTGGCTTTAAGGAGCTGTGGTGGGGCAATGGTGGACTAATGAAATGTGTGACAAAATCTAGTATAAGACTATTTGAGTGAATGGTGGAGAATAAGTCAAGAAAGAAAGGTCAGCCTTATTCCAAATATAGTATAGAATATATTATTCCAAATACAGTATAGATACTGAAATTATGAAACACTGTAAAGAAACAGTACTTCTACTTAATAATTGGTGGGATTATTCTATTGTTTTTTATGTTATTGATAAACACAAATTAAACTTGATTTTAATAGTTTAAACAAAATGTTAAAATAATGATTTAAAAATATTCCTTTTAATCAGTGTTGAATGATTTTTTGTTAAATTTTAAATTTTTTCTAAATGTATTATCACAACTTTTTTTCTATTTTGTAGAATATGTTTCGACAACAACAAAAGATTTTTCAACAATGTAGAATTGTTCAGAGCCAGAGACTGAAAGCAGTTAAACAGTTATATGAGCAGTTTGTAAAGGTCTGTTGTAATTGGAAGCATAATATTATACAGCTATGGAAGTAGAAAACAAAGTTTCTTTCCAAATTACAGGAACAAACATTTTGGATATACATTTTTAAATTAAAAGCCATTTTCTATTTGGAATTAATTTCTTATTTAATGCTAACTATTTTTACTTTTAAGATTCACTAATAGGTTTGGAGGAATTACTCAAAACAGAAAAATGATAAATTGCGGATTTCACCTAGAAATGTGTATATATCATGCATACAATTGACAGTTTAGCATTTTAATCAAGTTTTCTGTTTTTAGTAGAGTGAGTAAATATGGACTTTCTATTTTCAATTGTCTAGTTTCTAAGTAGTTTATTATGTGTCTTTGTATCACCAACTAAAAGAATATCTTATTTTCAAATATGTAAGCATTTTGTCATATTTGCTTCTGTGGAATTGCTCTAATACTCACTGTAGACCATTTATTAATTGGTGTGAAGGTGTGATACAGTACTAGAAAAGATTTACAAGAAGTACTCATTCTAAATTCTTACTTTATAATTTCTGTGGTTTTAAAACAATGCTTCTTTTACCCAAATATAGTATCAATTATGTATTGTTCATTTTAAATTCCTCCTAGTACTTGAGCTATTACTTACTGTTTATATAGTGTGGGTACCAGATAAGTATTTGTTGGATGAATAGTAAAGATTCAAAGCATAATTTTTGTTCATAAATTGAAAGAGATTGTCATTGATATTATTGTTATACTATAAATCATTTTATTATTTCTGATGAAATCATGTCACACTTCATAAATGGGTTATTAACTAGTGTTTTAAAATGTTACTATAGATTTGCAAAATTAATAGTATTCATTGATACAGGACTTTCAGTCTTTATCTTTTTTGGCTTCATTTTAACCCATTGTTTTAAAGTATTGTACTATATTTGACTCAAATTTGACTTTTATTCCTTTTGTGTAGGTATTTTGGTTTTCATGTATTACATAGAATTTTAATTGGGATGATTCCTTGAATATTAAAAAGTTCTAAGAATTTTACACACATAGAACTTGAAATGAAAAGTGATGGTTTGTAACTGAACTTTGTGTTTTAGAGTATGCAGGAAATGGAGAATCATCATGAGAATCTTCTGAGTGGTGCGCAAAATGAACTTAGAAAAGAAATGGCTATGTTGCAGAAAAAAATTATGATGGATACTGTAAGTATTTAATACTTAAAAACTAAGAACTGATTTAGGCATTGAAGTATTTTATTTGCTGAAATATGCATAACTAAATATTAAACAGGTGTTTAATATTTCTTTTCATATAACAGCAGCAGCAAGAGATGGCAAGTGTTCGAAAGTCTCTTCAATCCATGTTATTCTGTTGACTCTTTGAAGAAAGAACTTGAACCTAAGTAATACACAATTATAACATTAGCTATGGGTATGTAAGTCTCTACAGGGGTTTAAAAATTCTAGCTTAGATTATATCATATCTCATCCTGTTATTATTAGCTTGTTTGTAGACAGACCCCTTTCTGTAAACCCTGAATAAAATCTAGAGTTTTTTGAGTAGCAGCAATTCTAAAGCTATGTGTATCAGTCTTCCAAGTCTTCTGTATTAACAGTGAATTTTCCTCCCTAACTCTTGTCAATTAACTTGAGCAATAAAGATTATTTAAATTTAGATAAATTTAGATTTTGGCTTCAGTGAATCTGCATGAGTATGAAAGGGTAGAAAGCATAAATATGGAAGATGACACTTCTTTATAGGGGAAAAACAAAACATTTTCAAGCTACAGAGCTAATTTTGATGACAGTAAGACTTCAAAGGAAAATCTATTCTACTTGAAAAATTTATTTGAAACAACTTAAATTTATATTTTAGAATAAATTTTGCTGAAGTTATAACAGAATATATAACTATCCATATTAAGACATTTGTAAATGTCATTTGTGTAAGACATCAAAATAATTTGGTTTAGTCCACAATTAAATGACACACATGCCCTTAGAAATGATTAAGAGCATTTCATGAATATATTTAATTACTCATGGTTTTAATATTTCACTTGTTTTTAAAATAAATTACCCAGAATGTTTTCCTTTACAAACTTAGTGTTCATGAATATATGGAAATTTGTTTTTTTTAATTCTTTATTTCCAAATTTGAACAATTTGTCTCAGGTTTTAAATGGTGTATTTTTTTTTTAAAACACAATATGAAATTTACTGGAAATACTGCATCTTACAAATACCAAATTGTTCCTGAATTTGTTTGAAATTCAACTTATTTTTACTGAAACTGTTTTCAGTGACTCATTCAAAACAAAATGCCCATTACAAGTGACTTCTCTCATTTATCCACAGGATTTAAATTTGTATTCCTGCCCTTTTAAACTCAGTCTTTTTAAGTTTTCTCATATTTTTAAGAACAAGTCCATACAGATTCTCTTTTTATAACTGAGATAATTGACACAGAAAGAAGTTAGTCCTTCACCATTAGTAAATGTTGACATAAAGGAAACAGAATACTTACTACAGTTTTACATTTTACAAAGGGTTTTTTCCTTTAAGCCAAAACATACGTTGGCCTATAAATCTTCAGTATTATTCAAGCTTCTATGAAAATCCTTATCTGAGAAGTTTTGCCGATAGAGGCAAAAAACTTACATAGTATATTTTTTCCTTTTTAAGAAATGCCAGTTTTCACTGTTGTATACAACAGGACTTTTTCTTCAAATAAATATAGAGTACGTTCATTACACTTATTTTTCTGATTATGGCATATGGATAAAAATAAAAATAGAATCAGATAGCAGTCTGAAGATTCCGTTCTAATGAGCAACCTAAATTTAAGTGCGAGTTGAAGGGGAAGATTAGAACTATTCTTAATTGCAACTGTGCTTTAGCTTTTTTTTTTTAAGAGACTGTTTAATGTCTATTTTCTTACTGCAAAGTTTAACTTACAATATCAAAGAACACATTGCCCTCAATATAAGTAATTCATTTGCTTTTCTCAACTGGTAAATAAATTTGTTACTACATACAAATTATAAAAAGTTCCATTTTTAATTCTCTTACATTTTAATTGTTATACTAGTAAGATAAGTTTCTAATACCATAGTAACATGTCTTTGAAAAGGCTAATATTAAAAAATTTCTTGCAACATTGTCTGACACAATAATTACTGTAAGTTATACACTTACACAGTACTGTGAGCCCAATTTTCAGTTTTTCACAACCAAGTAAGTACAACTCTTAAGATAGTTATAAAATCCTTTAGATCCTGAATTTTTATGTAATTATTTGACAACAAAAACCCAAATGCCCAAAAGATGTCTCAGAGACAAAGAGACTGCTATCTAGGAATGCACTGGTTTACTTTCTTTTTTTCTTCCCCTTACTGGTTCACTATCATATCCTCAGGATTGAAATTTCTTTCTTTGCTCTTCTAATTAATTTATAGATGTTACGCTTTCATTATGATAATTAACTGATTAAAAAAAAGTTGGTATACAGTTAGGTTTTCATAACTAAGACTGACAGAATCTGAAGGATTTAGGTTTAGGTTTTATATTTGAATATAATCCTTATTTGATAGTATACTAGCCTCCTGCAAAGGGGGAATTTCCTTCACCCATAGGTTCCCCTAACTGCTTCTCCTCTTCTCCTTGGGCTATTAGTCAATATGCTTGTGAACCTGTTCAGGTGCTTGATGATACGAAGTCTTGAAGATATTTATATGAAGGTGTCTTGAAATTTGCAGGCACAAAGCACTAAAGTATGTCGTCATATCAAATGAAGTAATGACCTTTAGAAGCAAAAAAGAAAATACAAATGTATTGTCTATGTTTTTTGAAGCAGCAGCAGTTTGTTTCCCACAAATCTCAAACTTTAACCTAAAATTCTTCAGTGACAAGAGCAATCTTAAGAGTACATTCACCTATTTCACATTTGACCCTCACCATTAGGTCAGCTTGAACTACAGGGGTGGTGATTCAAACCCAGCAGCTCCTCAGAAACTCCATACAGGGTCAATATGGGTCGGAACTGACCGGCAGCACTAAACAACAAGGCCATACAGTGGTATGGCACTGTAGGATGAGCACTGGACTGGTAACAGTAAGGTCAGCAATTCAAACCCACAAGCTGCTCTAGGAAACCCTACACAGGGTTGCTATGGGTTGGAACAGAGTCCTGGTGTGGCGCTGTAAGATATATACTGGACCACAGAGGTCGGGGGTTCAAATTCACTAGCAGTTCTCAGAAACGCTATGCACGGTTGCTATGAGTCAGAACTGACCGGATGGCACTTAACAGTTAGTGGGTAAGAACTGACTCAACTGCACACAACAAAATCCTCTCAAAAAGCCTTGGTGTTGCAGTGGTTAAACACTCACCTGCTATCCAAAAGGTTCATTGCTATTAGGACTTACCAGTGGCTCCACAGGAAAAACATTACATCCTTGGAAACTGTATGGGGCAGTTACACTATATTATACTATTAGTAGGAATCAACTCGACAGCAGTGGATTTGGTATATAGTCTTTTTCTAGCACCTCTATAAGAGAACTAACTACCCCATGGGGTGTCCAAGGCTGTAATCTTTACAGAAGCAAGGCTGCATATCTTTAACCTATGGAGAAGCTGGTGGATTTGAAATATCAACCTTATTGGTTAGCCAAGCACTTAACTACTGTGCCACCAGGGTTGCTATGAACAGAGTTAGCTCCATGGCAATGGGTATTACAGTCCTCTGGAATATGAAGGTCTTTTCAAAAGTATACAAATTGCAGAGAGGTAAAAATTACAATACAATACTAAAGCTAGAAGGGAGCCCTGGTGTGCCACATGCTCAAGGTCAGTTTGAACTTGCCCAGGTCAGTGGTCCAAACTCACCAACTGCTCCAAAACCCTATATAGGGTCAGAACTAACTTCACAGCACTGAACGTGTATAATCCAATTTACTTTCAAAAGTACGGTGTAATCAATGAAAAATTAACTACTGCTTGTTAACATAGCCATCACTATGAAACACAAACTATATGATATCCATAAAGATACGTAAGATTACTTGCTTTCAACACAAAATAGTTTCAGAAGCTTGTACTTGGTGCACTGTATTCGTCAAAACCAGCTGGCAACTTTTGATGCGTTAAGCTTGTTTGTTAGCGCTTAACCCCATCTATGGAGCCATGGTGGCATACTAGGAAGCTCCCTGGTGGCTTAAACCCTATATGGGGTTGCTATGGGTCGGAACCAACTTGACGGCACACAACCACCACCTTATCTATTTTGTCAGTTATCTACTGAAGATGGAAATTATATTATTTTGACAAGTTCAATTAAAGTCAGATAAGTATTTTCAGTTTTAATGAAGTGATTTTTGAAGGGGAGTCCTAGGGTGGTACTAGGACTATAACAAAAAGGTTAGAGGTTCAAGTCCACTGAGGCACCTTTTGTCATTGTGAAAATCCTAATAGAGCACAGTTCTAAAACAGAACACGTTCAGCATTTCTCAGGCTCTGAGGGAACTGAAGAAAAAACTCAAAACCTCGACTTGCCATATGGAAGGATTCTACGGAAAAAACAATGATGCAGAAAGCATCCATCAAAAGAAGATGGGAGGCACACAGAGCCACTGTACCAAAAAGAAATGGTCGGGTACAGGCAGGGTTTGATGGCAGCTAGGGTGGAGGTGCAGTGAAGTTCGCTGTCAGTAATACCACAGAATACCAGGCAAAGCATTTCCACGGCAGAGCTCCAAAACTGGGAACCACAGAGACAGGAATATTTTGAAGGTTTGAAGGCTTATAGATTGTGGAAACTTGAAGCTGTACTTTTGAATCTGCCGGTCTGGGCTCGGAGGCCCGGAGCCGACATCTTGGGCGAGACCAAACAGCAAGACCAAGCGGGGGAGCAGAAACACCATGGTAAAATGCCATAAGAACCTTAGAGCAAGGGTGGACAATACAGTTTGTCAGTTTTGCTTTGTTGTTTTTTTTTTTTTTTTCAGTATCTGGTCATTATTTGTTTTTATTTCATTGTAGAAGAAGCTGTGACCTATTTAGTAGCCCCTTATTTTTTTTTTTTTTTCAGTATCTGGTTTTGATTTGTTTTTATTTCATTGTAGAAGAAGCTGTGACCTATTTAGTAGCCCCTTATTTTTTTCTTTACATTAGTGACAGGCTTATTGTTATTATTATTTTTTTAATTGTATTTTTGGTGAAGGTTTACACATCAGTTTCAGTTCCCATTTACCCATTTTTACAGGAGGACTTTTGGTGTGGTGCTGTAGAATAAACAATGAACTGCTAACCACGAAGTCAATGGTTCAAACCCACCAGCTTGAAAACCCTATACAGGGTCACTTGGGGTTGGACCCCACTTGACAGCACTTAATAACAAGGGAAGTTGTTCACTGCTATTGT